CCGTTCCCTGGCCTGTAGGTTTTCAGAGGCAGTAAATCCCGTGGGAGGAGATTGCCTATCTTTTTCCTTTGAAACAACTGGTAGATTCAAACTGTGTGCCCTTAGGTTGGCAGGGAAGCTCCTTAACACTAGGCAATCAGAGCGCACTGTAATTCACACATTGTTAAAGTCCATCAAGTCCAATGCTACTCATAGTGATCCTGTGAACAACAGACCTGAACCCTGTCCTATCCTGTGCTCTCTTCATCATCTCTGGCACACTTGAGCCCATTACTCCTGTTATTTTACCAGTCCATCTTACAGGAGAGTCTTCATCTCTTTTGCTGACCATCCGCTATTCCAAGCTTGATGTCTCCTTCCAAGAATAGTCTTACCTAGCAACATGCCCAAAGGATGAGAGACTAAACTTCACCCCTTTTGCCTCCAAGGAGCACTCTGGCTGCACTTATTCCAAGGCAAATTTTTCTTGTGTCATCCTTATTCATTGTCCAGTTCTCAAATGCATAGAAAGTGATTGAAAAAATTATGGCCTGAATCAGGTGTACCATAGTCTTTAAACTGACATTATTGCTCTTCATATTTTGGAGAGGTCACTGACAGCAGATTGCCCAATGCAGTAAGTCTCCTTATCTCTTGACTTCTGGCGCCAACAGCAGATTGCCCAGTGCAGTAATTCTCCTTATCTCTTGACTTCTGGCACCAAGAGTGTTAATTGTTGATCTAAGCAAGATGAAATAATTGACAACTTCAATCCTTTGTCTAACTTGATGTTACTTATTGGCCCATTGGTGAGAACCTTTGTCTTCTTGGTGTTGAGATGGAATCCATACAGAAAGCTATAGCCCGGGATCTTCTGCAGCAAGTATTTTAAGTCCTCCTCACTATGAGTAGTAAGCAAGGTTGCCAAATGTGCATAACACAGATTGCTGCTGAGTCCTCCTTTGATCCTGATTTCACATTTCTCTTCAGAAAGTCCAGCATAGGTATGCATATATCTGTTCTTCTGATAGCTTTTAGTTTGTTCCTTATTTTATATTAAATTTCCTCTACATTAGGAATCTAAGGTTCAAACTAAATAGTGTAGAGTACAACCATGAAAGTATTGAAGTGGTGCCAGAAAAATGTCATAAACTGGTCTGAGCAACAGTTGAAGAGCAGAGTATAGTATCTCCAGTGCCACTGTCACTAAAGTCTCTGTCATCCGTTTGCTGACATTACAGACATGTAAAATGAAATGTTCCACCAGTGGATCTCAAGTGATAAGATCTTAGGCTCTAAGATCCCTTCCAGCTCTACCATTCTCTGATTCTGCAGTTTTGAGTAACTGCTGGAAGGAAGTCAAGTTGTCTTCAGCAGACATAAATGAATTTGTCTGAAGCAATAGAAAATAACCCTTCGGGATTTCAGAATGTCTTGCTTTTTTTCGCATGTATACGGGGGCACGCGTTCTTTGGGGCTTGGGATTAGCATGCTTTGTGTGCACTCACCTCTCAAGGCAGCAGGAATGGGAGAGCAGATGGACTTCCATTGGTGCTCCTCTGGGCCTTTCCGCCTCCAGGCGCTCAAAGTCTAGGTCTGATGTTGGATCCCTAAAGGAAGGTGATTTCAGGCATAGAGCTCTGGGCTTTTTGCCAGCCTCAGAAATTTCATTGTCAAAGGCTCCTCCTCAGTGAGGGATATTTTGGATTTCCTATTTTGATTTGTATTCAAGAATGACTAGAAAATTGTTGTTCTTGTGTACCATTGAGTTGAAGCTGACCCACAGCTGACCTTCTGGTGGGTTTTCAGAGGCAGTTAATTGCATGGGAGGAGATTCCCTATCCTCCTGTGGAGCAGCTGTTGGATTCGAACCACATGCCTTTGGGATTGCAGCACAGCCTTTTGCCAGTAGGCCACCCAAGCTCCCTACTAGATTAGCTTGGGGTGTGCCCTCTAAGGACTTTCTATATACTAGAAAGTGAGGGGCATAGAGGGGGGGGAAATATGATCATAGATAATGCTATCTCTGTTGTTGTTTCTTCTCTTATTCTCTAAAAGAGAACAAAAGTTGTCAACATTCACTACCAATTAAAGATAGATTGGCAAAGACTTCTACATAAACCAGGCTATAAAAGTTCCAAGATGAATCATGAAATGTATGTTCAAGGGCAGAAGTTAAAATGTGTGTACAAGAGAACCTCTTCTTTTCACTTGCCGTGAGAAACTTTGGCTACCTGGTAAATGAGAAAGCTGATTGCTGTCAAGTCCAAACTCACTCATAGCTGACCCTCTGTCAAGTTTTCAGAGGCAGTAAATCACACGAGATTGTCCATCTTCCTTAGAACAGCTCGTGAATTGCTATGTTGAGTTGCCCGTGCAGTTCCTCACAACTTAGCCACCAGCGGTCTCTGACAGTGTTTGAGGGACCATTGCTTTCACAGCCTTGAATATTTAATTTTACTAGTTTAACTAATAGAAAAAAAATGGCCTTATATTTTGTTTGTTTCATTAGCACTAGAAATTAGAATTTCTCCAAAGTGTTTTTACTAATTATAATTATTCTTTCATTGACAATTGATCTTTTACATTGAAGTCTATTAAAATCTGAAATGTGAAAAATGTCTATAAATTATAAACACATGTATTTGTTAGGAAATTGTTTAAGCCATGTATGTGTGAATGTGTGTGTGTATGTGTGTGTTCATGTATATATACAAAAAAGGACAAAATTTGGTTTGTTCTTCTTGCAATCAGATAGAAATGTCCTCTTTCAGTATTTTGAATATATCTTTCTGAACTTTTTCTCTATACATCATCTTTTTTAAAATTTATTATTAATTTCAGTAAAAATTTACAGAGACTTTGGATTTCCATTCATTCATTGTTGCACTTTTCTCCCCTCTCAGCCCTCCCCCCTAGTACACTACCCTCTTGGAAAAGTAAAACAAAAATTCTTTCATTGTTGTACAAACCCTCCCCCAGGTCCATTCCACCATGTAGCCTTCGCTCTAGACTCCTGTCATGACAAAAATACCTAATCACATATCCCTTTTAAACAGTTTTCTCCCTCATTTGTTTCAATGCAGCATACATTATTGAATCCATCTTTCTCAATCTCTCCCCAACCCCAAGGTCAGTCCTGTGTTACAGTGGCACCATGCAGTAGTTGTCCTTTTATGACTGAGATACTTCACTCAGCATAATGTCCTCCAGGCTCACCCATTTTGAGTAATATTGCATGAGTTCCTTGTTTTTCAATGCAGCATAGTATTCCATTGCATGAATATACCACAGCTTCTCCATCCATTTTGTTGAGGGGCACTTTGGTTGTTTCCAACTCCTTGCTATTGTGAACAAAGCCGTGATAAACATGGGTGTGCATATATCTGCTTGGATGTCAGTTATGGTCTCTTTGGGGTATATTCCCAGTAGTGGAATTGCTGGGTCAAATGGTATCTCAATTTGCAAATTTTTGAGAAAGCTCCATACCGTCTTCCACAGTGGTTGAACCATTTTACACTTCCACCAACAGTGAATAAGGGTTTCAGTTTCTCCACAAACTCACCAGCATTTGTTGCTTGCTGTTCTGTTAAATTTTGCTATTCTTACTGGGGTGAGATGATATCTTATAGTTGTTTTAATTTGCATCTCTTAGAGCTAGGGATTTTGAACATTTCTACATGTGCGTGTTAGCCATCTGAATGTCTTCTTTGGTGAAGTGTCCGTTCATATCCTGTGCCCAGCTTTCTATTGGATTGTTTACCTTTATCTTGTTGTGGTGCTCAGGTATTTTCTAAATTCTGGATATAAGTCCCTTATCTGATATGTCATTACCAAATACTTTTTCCCAGTTTGTGGCTTCCCTTTTTACCCTGTTGAAGTTTTTGGATGTGCATAGGGATTTGATTCTTAGACACGCATCATCTTCTTAAATTACTGAGTATGATATCATACAGTTAACCTACTCTTTCCACTCAATAACCCAAATATCTTTATATGAAAAATGTAATATGTTTTTTTCTTTGGTGTTTCTTGTTTATTCTGGAAATTTAGAAGAATATAGAAAATTATAAAGAAGAAAAACTACTCATCATAGTACTATCCAGCTATAAAGATATTCAGTTTGTTGTTGTGGTCCTTTCAATTTTTAACTGCATATATCTTTTTCTTCAAAACTGGCATTACATTGTATCTGTGAAGTTTACAATGTATTCATTATATTAGTATACTTTTAAAATGTTTGTTCTTCTTAATGTTTCATGGTTTATTTTAAAATGGTCTTAGCCTTACACATTTAGATTGTTTTTAATTTTCATTAACTTAAATGTTTGCCATAAACATCTTTTTATAAGATTTTTTTACATTTTTGTTACTGTACCATCAAGTCAGAACTGACCCTTACCTGACTCTCTGGCCGGTTTTCAGAGGCAGTTAATCACATGGGAGGATATTGCTGGTCTGTCTCCCGCAAAGCAGCTGGTGGCCTCGAACCACGTGCCTCTGGGAGTGCAGCACAGCTTCTTACCACTAAGCTACTAGAGCTCCCTAAAAAATTTTATTACTTAAAAAATTTGTAAAGGTTTTTCTAAATTTTTTGTTTTATTATTAATGATTTTCTTATTTCTGTTAATCTTTTCAAGTATAAAAGTTTTAAACTGTTTAATGACAATATCTTTTGCCAAATTGCCTTCCAGAAAGGTGATTTACACAATTTATGCTCCTCCCAATTTTGTGTATACCTCATCACTTCTTACTTACATTGCCTATTAACTTATTTTTAAATATTGATAATGCATCATTGAGAAACTGACATCTTACTGTTTTTATGCTTTTCTTAAAAATAAATTTATTAGTAAGAACGATAAGATTTCACAGCATATTTTAACAAAATAAAGTAGATTTTTCCTACTGAGTGTCTATAATAGCTTAACTTGAGTACATGTATGTCTGTGTGTGCATGTTTTATGAAAGTAAAATCTCTAGTATCTTATGTCTAAAATGGAACCATTTTTTCCTAATAGGTCTTGGTATCTTGATGGACGAACACTACTAATAATTATTTGCGTTGCCATAGTGTTCCCTCTTGCACTTCTTCCCCAAATAGGTAAGTCTTTTAAAAAGAAGACCTGATTTGTTTAAGAGAAAGAAAGGAAAAAATATTAAAGGCCTTCCAAATTTTATAATACCACATTTTTAGCGTGTGGTGGTGATGAATAATTTTAAACTTGGCCTCATTTTAGCTTGTTCAGCCTTCAGCCCTGCCTAGTTAACCTATTAGTTGGTTTGCAGTAGTATTTTGTCTGCCCCACTAAAATAAAATCTTTACAGCAGAACATTAAAGAGCAGCCTTTCCTTACAGTGTACCATTAGTGGTAAGCCAGTTCCAATTCTGCTCTACAGAGCTGCATAAATGGTCTGTGACAGATACTTGGAATGTTGTTATTCTGAGCCCTAAGCCCCAGATACCAAGCACTGTAATAGAAAACATGCCCAAGATGTATAGTTTTAGTTATATTTTAGGATCCCTTTCCTTATAAATTGTTTTTTATTTTACTGTTATTTTACAGGCTTTCTTGGCTACACAAGTAGTTTATCATTTTTCTTTATGGTGTTCTTTGCTCTTGTGGTAAGTTTAAAATACAGTGTCTTGCTTATCTCACTAAAATTGGGTTTGTGGTGTAAGTATCTTTTTTATTATTTTTTTCTTAAAACACTGTTTTGTCTTGGGAAGGGTATCCTCTTTTATTCCAATGGTTTACTAAAGGTGCTTTTTTTCACAAAATTGTTTTCCTTCGTGTTGTCTATTTTGAAAAGGTTTGGATAGAGCACCATTTTTAAATTCTGCATCACTAGAGAGGCTAGCAAAACAAATGTTTTAAAACTCTAGATGAAGTCTATTTTGTGTGTGTAGGTAGGTGTATATCTCGGTTTCTGTACAGTAGTGTATCTGTTTGTGTGTGTGTGACACAGAGTAATAAGAATCAGGCTGGTTGTAATCTATAGTACTAATTTGATACTAGTCATCATCATTTGGAAATTATATTCCATTAATTAAACTAGAGCTTCTGGGATTTAGCCCTGAACTGGACTAGTCAAAACTGAATACATGAATTTATTAAGCACAGTTAAATTATCATAAACAACTAATACAAAGACATTTTCTTGCCTTACAGAGTATGTTTTTCCTTGTGTTTTAACCAATTCAAACACTGTGCCAACACAAAGGCCTGTGTTCAAATTCTCCATCTAGTCTGCAAGAGAAAGATGGGCATTCTGTGTCCATTGGATTCACAACTTCTGAAAATCCACTGGAGGGTCAGCTATGGTTCTGACTCTATGGCATTCAACAGCCCCAACAACATCTGGTGATCTAGTGGTAAGGAGTTGCACTGCCAACCCAAAGGCATATGGTTCAAATTCACCAGCTTCTGTGCAAGAGACAAATGGGTGTTCTCCTCCGTGTGATTCTAAAAACCTGCCTACTGGAGGGTGACACTGAGTTGTTTCGAACCCAGCAGCACATAACATCTTTACCATAATGTAGGAAAAATATCTATCAGATCATAAATGTAACTTCTTTTTATGATTAGAGAGTAATTTAATAGCAAAGAGAAATTAAAGTTCAGATTTCCTTTAAATCTTCAAAATAGATTTTAGCATTGAAAGACAATATTTTTGTGTGGAATTTTTTTTTTTGGAAAAAATAGTCCTATTTATCATAGTATTTCATTCCACAACTGATATTTAAATGTCAAACTTTAAGTGAGATTATACTTTAAATTTACCAGGAAGTACTCAAATGACTTTTTTTTGTAAGCTTTATTAAACTCATCCTTGGTATTGAGAAATGAAGTATAGAAAATGGCAACATATAAGAAAACAGCACATCAATAATTATTCCATGTTAGAGTACCAGATTTCAGAACTGTCAAAACAATCTAGAATGCATTTAACTTGGGCTAACTGTCCTACAAAACAAATAGACACAGGAATAAGACAATCTTAGTTATTTAAATATTATTTGGAAGTTACACTGGCTTCAGTGTATATAAACATTTATCCTCTAATGACTGCCTTTAAAACTTAAAACCCCCAGTTTTATTTTGTCTGTAGTTAGTAATTTTTTTATTTTATCAACATTCAAATCATTGTCCTCCACCAAAATTGTCTAAATTGTATCTTACAAGTAGAGGAATAGAGTATGGACTTTCTAGGCTCAATACTGCAGAGGGAAATCTAGTAAATATTTTTCATGATAATTGTTAGGCATGGTTACATATGCAGACTCCCATAAGGATATGAAAGAGGCTCAGTATAAGTAAAATGCGAAATTTTTTTCCTCATAGGTAATTGCCAATCCAAATGTTGCTTAGGTATAAGTAATTTAATTTTCATAGTCAATAATTTTGAAGTAGATGAAATGTATTGATATGATACGTCTACTGTAGTGTTCACAGAATTCGTTTCCATCATGTCAGATCCTCTTTAATTCAGTGCAGATTTCTACTGTAGCAGTCATATGGAAATAATATGCATAGTCTCCATTTATTATAACGCTTTTCAAACATCTGCTCAGATTATTTTACCTGTGAGCACAATTTATTCTCCAATGGGACAATGCAGAACATTCTGTATATGTTAATGCTATTTTTTAATTGGCATATTTATTTTAGAATCTTTAAGTGTTAAATTTTGAAATATAAAAGAAAACAAACAAATACTCTGCCCAAATCTAATCAAGGGGAGAGGAGGATAAGCACTTACAAATCCAAAATTCCCGGTCTCCTCTTTTGCATGAGGGTTCAGCTTGCTTCTTTTGAACTGTGTCCTGTGGGCTCTTGAGTGATAGGTAGTTTGAAGGCAGATCGCGAGACCTTTCTTCCAAGGCATCTATAGGTAGACTCAAACCAATATCCTTTCAGTTTGCAGTTAACTGTGTAGGACACACTGGCTGAAAGATGGGCAGTTTCAGCCTGACAAGAGACTTGTTAGAGGACAGGGTGCTCCCAAAGGTGCAGCCTTAGAAACCCTAGGGGAAAATTCTGCTCTGCACACATGAGATGCCATGAGTTACAATCTTGCATTTGACTCAGGGGCAACTAACAATAACAACAGCAGCAGCCAACCATTCAGGCCCTCCTGGTACATTGTCATGTGCTGTCAATGACAAATGATAGTGACCCCATGAATAACAGAGCAGACTCTTGCCCTATCCTGTACCATGAAAAATGCAACCCATTGCAGATGAGCCAGAACTGACTCATGACTGACCCTCCAGCAGGTTTTCAGAGACTGTATACGAGGAGGTTGCCCTTCTTCCTCTGATGGAGCAGCCGGTGGGTTCCAACCACTTGCCTTTGATTTGGCAGCACAACTGCCTATCCCCGAGGCCATAGCTCTCCTGCCCCACACAACAGTGCTCACTAGGTACGACCACATTTGCTAACGCCAAAACCAGTTGCAGTTCATTTCAACTAATGATGACCTGTGTGTGTCAGAATATAACCGTGCTCCATAGGATTGGCAGAGTTTGGGGGAAGTAAATTTCCAGATCTTTCTTCATATTCACCTCTGGGTAGACTCAAACCTCCAACTTCCTACTAAGTACATTAACTGCAGGTCCCACCTGAGTTCTCCTACTTCAGCTCTTATTGGGAGGAGAAGGGGGGAGGGAGGGAATTAGAAACTAATTATGGAGCAGGGCGGTGGAAAAAATAAACTAGTGACAACTTCTTTCTCTAGCTTCCCCTGCATCTGCCATCAGTTTTGGAAACCTGTCAAAAACATTGAGATTGTTAACTTTGATTTTGTTTTTCCTTTGTTAAATTGATCGATTAAATTTATTTCATGTTGAAAATCTACCTGGAAATGTCAAAGCAAACTCATCCTGTTTACCCTTCTAAACCTTTGTGAGATTTTTAATCGAGAGCTAATTGTTTAGATCACTCATTTATTTAATCCTAAAAACTCCCTTAGATTTGCTTTATCACTACGTACAAGTTTGATTGAATTAATTAAAATCCAAAATTAAATAAATATTAAATAGAAATCAGAATAGGGTTTTACTTAATGGTCTCCTGCAGAGGACAAATGCTTTGTTTTTTTGCTTGCTCCTTTGTATGCTGGGTTTCAGCCTGGAGCAAACATTTACAGAGTAATTATGTGCCTCACAACCAGGGCTGCAAAGGTAATGTTGACACAGCCACAACTATAGGCCCAGGAACAGAATGGCCACAATTAAGAGTAAAATCCTGAAACATTTTCATTGATTATTTCTGGGAAACAACATCCCTCTAGATTTTTTTAATGTTTTTATTTAATTTCTTTTTACCAGTCGGGATTCCCTAGTTATGTTCTCTTATTCTTAGCCAACTTTCTCCATAGTCAACAAAAATAGTACAAATCTGAAGAGCTAAGGGCAGGAGAAGGTGAAGGTCAGGGTTATAAATTGTTATAAAGCAGAAATCTTTGCATTCCTCGTTGCATAAGCTCTCTCCTTGTTTCTACCCATTGCCTTTTCCAAACTGTTGTTACTATTCTCAAAGCACTACTGATGCTAGGACTACAAATAACCAGGTTTTTTAGTACTGTCAATGAAAGCATAGAATTCCCATTTAGAGTTGATTTTTTTAACGACATAATGCTGTTAGAGTTTTAAAAGTTTGCATGCGAGAAAATAAAAAAAAGAAAATTCAACATGAGAGTATTCTCAGTTTTCACTAGGGACCCAACTGGGATTTCAGTCTTTACTGGAGAAGAGATGTATAGTAGTACCGTGTTGTGTGTGTACTCCACCCCCACCCCGCCTCGCTTAAGCCCACCTAACAAACCGTATTTTCTTTTAGTTGAGGATGGTTCTGGTAACTATCTCTGCTTAAATATAATCTGGGGAGACTTATATGGACAAAGCCTCATATTTGATGTGGTGCTAGTTTTATTTTAAATAAAGACCATCTATTTGAAATCAGTCTCCATGAATTTTCTAAGAAATAATTTGAGTACTGATTTTATTTATTTATTCTTATAGGTGATAATTAAAAAAGCATCCATTCCTTGTCCTCTGAAATTAAATTACAAAGAGGAATATTTCCAGGTAATTGCTTATTTTTTCTTTCTTTTTATTCTAAGGTAGAAAGAGAAAAATAAGACTGATGACTTATTTCTAACTAATGAAAAAGTAAAATAATGGTCACATTGCATCTTGGAACATTGTTTTGAAATACTTTAATTGAAAGCCCAGTAGTAATAATTTATATTTTTTTGTTGATGTGTTCTGACTTTTAATCGCTGTTGGTTTCTCTTTTTCCCCCCTCAATCCTCTTAAACAGATTTCAAATACTACAGATGATTGTAAACCAAAGCTCTTTCATTTCTCCAAAGAGGTGTGTAAGTTATTAACAGATACTTTTGGTTGATTTTTCACATTTCAAGTTTTAAACGTTTTGTGTAACAGGGTCTCTTAGGTCTTTGTACCTGAAACTAATTAATTTTCATTAAAGTGCTAAGTGTAGGGTTGCCTACCAGAAGAATAATATTATTTGATGCAGGGTGGCCCATTATGAACCAACCACATTTTTTTTTTGGCATGTCTTTAAATGGAGCCTGTTTTAAATGGACCACTGCTTTTAAAGAGAACAGATTTACTGAATGTCTGGTCTGGCCAATAAGGTCCTCTGTGGATACAAACTTCCTGTAGCCTTCTGGACTTAGAAGGCTGAATAGTCAATTATATCAAAACTTCCTCCCTTGTGAGTAGAACCTTGGTCTATAACTAAACAGCATCATCATTGAACCAGCAAATTGAGTTCTGCCCCTGTGTCTTCTCACCAGTATTCCAGAGTTGAAATTTATGATGCCTGGAGCGAAGAAAAGGGGTTAGGATACCCTACTTCTTCATCATCCACAAGCTGAAAAACACCTGCACGACCTCCTGAGCAATGGAGTGGAGGCGGCAGGAACTGTGACCTGGATCTGTGTCTCTGTTTTACCATTCTAGACCTTGAGTCTTTCTGTTGGTGAAGTGTCTCCATTGACACGTTTTTTTCTGCATAAATGTTATTTTGTAGGTCACAGGTATTGTCTCCATTATATACAAGCCTATTGGTGTAGAATGTTAGTGTGGCCACTCCTCCTTGGAACTTTTTCCTTCTGATCCTGTTTTTTGTGTTTCTCCAGCTCCCCCACCCCACCCCGGAGGTCACAGCATTTTTTTATATGATACAGATCTCCATGTGCCTTAGATATCTAGGTATGGCCACTGGCAAGCCAGGAAATTGGGCAATGTATGAAACAAGAGTATTTGTGAATCAAACTCTCATTTCATTAATCCAGTCTCAGGAAGTACTAGAGCTTCTTTCCTCCTAGCCTTCCTTAGATATTTCAGGAGTCTAAGCTTTAGGTCCCAAGATAGGTCTTTAGTCATCTGGAATGTCTTGCGAAGAGCCTAGGGATGAAATTAGGGGAAATTTTTTCTGAAGCTAAAAAAGGAAAGTAAATAACTACCACTCATCTTACAGAGACAATATTTTTATTTAGATGGTAACATTGATTTGTAACTTCCTTTTCTTCTTGTTAAATACCCCAGTTAAAAAGAAAAAAACTATTACACTCAATCAGTGAAAATTTGTATGTCTAGAGTAGATGATGTTTATTCTAATTAAAAGGACTTCTAGTTGGGAGCTCTGGTGGCCTAGTGGCAAGAAGCTGCACTGTAATCCCAGAGGTACACAGTTCAAATCCGCCAGATAGATGCTCTGCTGGAGAAGGAGGGACAATCTCCTCCTGTACCAGTCAGATCTGATTTGATGGTACACACACAAAAATAATAAAATTTAAAAAATAGATAAAATGACTCCTTGTCAAAGAGGATAGAAATATTAAAATAGGATCGATATTTTAAATAGTCTCCATAAATTGTGTTGATGACAACAGGTTCAAAGCTTTAACTACTATTACTCTTCAGTGTATTTAAGTTGCGTACTTATGGAAAGTCTGAGAATTAGAAAAGATTTTATGAAGTGTTTTTTTTTATATTTTACACAAATACTATTTGTTGGTGTTGTTCTTAGGTGCTGTAGAGTCAAGTGCAACCCATAGCAACCCTGTGAACAACAGATCTGAACCCTGTCCTACCCTGTGCTGTCCTCATTGTCTCTGACACTGTTGAGCCCATTGCTGTAGTCACTGTGTCTGTCCTTCTCTTGAGGGTCTTCCTCTCTTTAGCTGAACCTCCACCTCTACAAACATAATGTCCCCTTTCAAGGACAGCCTTTCTTAGCAACATACCTAGAGCATGAGAGACAAAGCTCTGCCATCTTTGCCTCCAAGGAGCACTCTGGCTGCATTTTCCCCAAGATGTATCTGTTCTTCTGTCAATCCATGGAATATTCAGTACTCTTGCCCAACACCACGGCTCAGAAGCCTCAATTCTTCTACATCCTTATTTCATTGTCCAGCTTTCAAATGTGTAGTAAGTGATTAAAAAGACCCTGGTGTGAATCAGGCGTACTTTTGTCTGTCCTACCTAAATTATTTTTATACTCAAATAATATAAAACTCAGTGATGTGGGTAAAATAAAATCATGAGGTTTCTCCAGGGATACTAGGGATGAATATTTGACTTAATCTGGTATTTACTTAATATAAGATCTGTTGTGTTGTTACTTAAAAGCACTGTGGGAAGGTAGCCAAGAAATATTTAGGCTAGTACAGGCAAGCAGACAATCAAGTCAGACATTTCCTCTTGGCCATACTTTGGCTGTCTTTCTTTGTAAATATTTCAAAAAATCTTATAAAGACATAATTCATGGAAGATGGAATAAATGTAATCAAGTTTATCTTTTTTAAAGAATTGCATTTTTAACAGAATAGCCATTAATAATTTCCATTTTTGTTTTATTTTTTCAGAGTGCTTATGCCATACCAACTATGGCCTTTTCATTTCTGTGCCATACCTCAATATTGCCCATATACTGTGAACTTCAAAGGTATCATTGAATCTTGTAATACATTGGCATTGTCCTTTCACCTCCAATGATAGTCTCTTTTATGAATTCTATCTTCCCATTGGATTCTAAGTTTTAGTAAACAAAACAAAATACTCAGCTGAACCAAGAGTTGAATTTTGTCCAAGTTAAGAATGCCATCTGGAACTATAAGGTTTGTGTCACGCACTCACTGCCGTGGAGTGGGTTCCAGCTTGTAGGGACCCGCCACCAGATTTCCAAGACTGTATGTGCTGAAGCTTCATCTGACTTACTTTGGACATGTTATGAGGAGGGAGAGAGATGTCATGCTTGGGAGGTTGGAGGGACAGCACAGGAGAGAAAGACCTCAATGAGATGTATTGACTCAGTAACTGGAGTAATGAGGGTAGGGGTGTCAGAGACAGTAAGATTGGCACAGGATAGAGCAGAGTTTAGGGTTGTTGGACATAGGGTCACTATGAGTCACAGGTGACTTGACGGCGCATAACAACAGCATGTTGTAACAAGACTGTATGATGTAACTGTCCATTTTTCTCTTGAGGAGCTGCTGGTGAATTCAAACCACCAGAGACCTGCAGCCTTTGGATTAGCAGTGTAACTTGATATGGACTCGTTATTTTGTAACTTGGATTTGAATGATTGAGAAATCTCTCTGACTACATTGGGAGATAGTTGGTTTTTAGGTATAATTCAAAGCACTGATTATATGATTGCGGTTTTTGTCTTTTAGCCCTTCAAAGAAAAGAATGCAAAATGTAACCAATACAGCAATTGCTTTAAGTTTTCTAATTTATTTTGTGTCTGCGCTGTTTGGGTACCTCACTTTTTATGGTAAGTATATCCCTTAATTACAGATCACAAAACCTTAGGTAGATTGTTTTTAGGATCGTCTCTTTAAAGATATCCTCCCTGAGTATGAACTTGATTTCTATCTTTCATTAGTTAATTAATTTGTTCAGGCTGTCAGATTAGAATGCAGTGTGTTGTGGTGGCTGTAGGGGCCTTAATAGAACTTAGTCACTTTCTCTTATAAAGGTAAATCAAGTTCAAAATTAATAGCCTCACATGAAAATTTTCTTAAACACCTAAGTAAATCTTCAAGCTTGGAGCCACTGATGTTTTTCTACAAGAAAAAAAAAGCTTAATAATTATTTTAATTGATAATTCAATATGTATTAAACACTGTCAGGATATGAGGGAGGCCATTCATTTTCACTGTGAAAGAACAAGTTAAGAAAAGAGAATTTATACTGGACTGTAAGTTATACATTTACGTGGAAGAAAGCTCGCCCTTCACACTTAATTATCACAGAATCAACAGATGTGTAGTCTATGTTACACTACTACTCTCCTCATTTTATATACTTTTAAAATTATAAAATAAATGTTATCTTTTGCTTTTGAACAATTGCCTACTTATTATGTGTTTTTCCCTTTCTGAAAAAAAAGCACAAGCAAAAGTAAAATTTAATACTCTAGAGCAAGAAAAAATAATTGTCAGTTCTCATTTAATTTGAAAACAAGCAAATTTTAAGGCATGTCACACTCAATTTGTTAAAAATCTTAAATGTATCATCATGTAATCTGTACACGAGATAACTGTCTTAGTGTTGCGTTGAGGAGAGAATAAGTTAGAAGTGAGGTTTCTGTTACTGTTTCTGCCATGTAGAAAACCCAGAGTCTACCTTTTGTTGGTCTGTTCAACTCCAGGTATGCAGAGTATAACTGTGTTCAATAGGATTTTAGTGACTTTAAAAAAAAAAAAGTGAAAGACTAGACATTTTTTTCAAGATGCCTCTGGGAAATCCTCCACAAATGAGAGCTTGCTTCTAGTGGTGTGTCACTATTATAATTTTTAGTATTTTATAATTTCACATGTTCTCTTTTTAAAACTGCATTTCTCTTGTTGTCTTTAATAAAATTTGAATTCCTATTCCAGATTATGCTGAGTATATTATCTTAGAGTTTTCTATGTGCAAGAAAACTATAGTCTTTCCCATCCTTGCTATCTCACTATTATATCATATATTATATCGTTATATATATTATATTAATAAGAGGGATTCATTAATTTAAACCAGCTACATTTGTGGATCCATGCCAACAATTCCTGGTAGAATGAAAGTAACAGAACTAACTCTGTGTACACTATCAGGAGAAGCATTATTACCGGTAGGAGCCTGACGTTCTGCTGGATTTGCTACACAGAAAGCTGAAACAGATAGATAACCATGCTTCTGTGATTATTATTAATAAAATGAAATATATAAGCTTTGGTTTTTAGTTGTTTGTTTGTTTTCATGAAGATGTGAGCTTGGTAAATATCAGCAAAATAATGTGACGAGATCTCCATTGGGATTCTACAAAGAGCATAACAGAATAGCTATATATTTTTTAGAATTTAAAATTGGTACAAATATGTTTATATTTGGGGGATCTTAAATATAGAGGGAAAAGTTCAAAAACTAGGACCTCAATCTCCTTGTGGGAAAAAAAAAGATCTGGATCAAACATTAAATGATCTACTTATCTTCAGGATGACTGAGAAATTATTACATAAATCACAATAGTTACTTAGAAGTCATATGAAATTATAAGCAAGCTTAGTTATAATGAAAATTGGATGAGGGATGATTGCTAATGTTATTAGGCTATTATTTATTAAGTAAATACCAGGTATTTTATATGTATTGCCTAACTTAACCTTTGCATCCACCCTGTAAGGTAGATATAGATTCACATAGGTTGAACAATTTGGACAGATACATGCAACTAACAGGTAATGAAGTCCAGTTCTCTTCACCTCTAAAGCCAGTGCCTTTATTACTGTGTTGTCTACTCAGGAATTATGCTGATTGTAAACCTACTTTTCTGTCATTTCAATTTTCTGCTAAACATTTTTGGAGGAAAGGAGTTATTTCTTTCGATCTTCTATAATTATATTTTATTAATTTTCATAAACATTTACAGAGATTTTGGGTTTCCATTCATTCATTGTTGCACTATTCTCTCTACCCTCCTCCCAGTTTGTTCTTGTCCAAATGCCACAGTGCTTGTCAAAGCCAGTTCTGATTAATCTTCTTTGTCAGTGTGTCCTTTGCCATTCCCTATCACTCCTCCCTGAGAGAGACTTCACCCTGAGTCATAAGGAAAAGGGGATGGCATATTCTCTTAGCTACTTCCTGCTGAAAAGGGACGCTGTGGGTTTCAGGGTGAAGATCTTCTCTCACTACTCTAAAGGGCCGGAAAGGAGTTATTTCAGCTCCAGTCATGTCTGCTTATCTATCCACCTGTCTATGTCTATGTGTAGATCTCCCTGTAATTGTTACTTGACATTAGCTCATAAAGAGAAGCTAAAGATTTTCATGCATGTAAAGTTTCTTAGATACGGACTTGTCAGGTTACTGGGTAAAACTGTTATGTTGCCTCTGACTTAACTCCTTCTCCACCAGTGCATGTGTTTTTAAGTATCCAACTGTTCCATAACAGAGAAATACAAAACTAACAGAAATCAAGTAGGTAGGGAGATTAGACAGATAGACAAGAGAGTCTGACTGAGTGATAGGAAAGCTATTCCTCCAAAAGTGGAAAAAATATTTTGATACTGATTTGTTGATTGCAGTGAATTTTTTTTCATGGGCTTGTTAATCATAACCAAGAAAACTTAGGTGTGATTTTTTTGTTTGTTTGTTTGTTTGTTTTTTTCAAATCATTTTAACAGTAACTGTAAGTCTTGGGGAAAGAAGTTGTTAATTAAGCTTACAGTCTTGTCAAAATGATCTAAATTAAGGTCCTCAATCCATTTAATAGATGAGCAATTGCAGCCCAGAGAGGTGCAGTGATTTATCACATAATTAGAGGCTTATTTCCTAAATATAAAACCAATTTTCTTTCTACTACTCTGTGACAGTCATCAGAAGCTTCACACGCTGTTTGATCATGTGTATTAAACAGGCCAACCTCCTGCCTTTCTCTGGTGGTATATAACTTGGAGAGGTCACCCTCAGTTTCTTACTAAGATTTGTGGAGATTTCTCTGAATCAGGGAAATGTGTTTTACTCTATCCCTTACATATGTTAAAGCTCAGCTAACAATACGGACTTGACTGGCTCAAAAGAAAGATTTCTATCCTGCGAGAATAGAAAGTAGACATGTAGCAGATATTTTGAATTTGTAATAAATCTAGTTCTTGAGGCTTTCGGAGCTGCTTGCCTTCCCTTTATCCTGAGCTCCTAGGCCTAGTTTCTATCTCCATTTTGTCAGATTAAAGTGTGTACCTAGATTCCTTGCTCTGATTACAGATATGACAGGATTCTATGGTGAGCAAGAGCAAAGTGTTTCTCTGGTGGAGCCCAGTGTTACATAATAACCAGTCCATTTAAAAACTATAAGGTTGTTAAGCAACATGTGTTAATAGTGTTTATGATTCAGCAAAAGGAAATAAAATATTTTTCATTTTTTTTTTTTAAATAAGATCTTTTTTTAAAGATCAACAAGTATCTCACAGATTTGGAAATAGAATCCAGATTTCTTGGCTCTTGTTAGACTCATGTTTAGTCTGTTAGCCCTTCCTTATATAAAATATTTCATACTTAGCACAATCAGTTTCTTTTGTGTTTCTGCTGTTCCGAGTCTAGTTCAAATTCTCATTACTTCTTACTTACTATGACAGTAAACTTCTCACTGTTATCTCTATTTGGGGCAGGTGTCTTGCTTATTTTAAGCTCCACTATGCTTTTCTTGATAAGCAGAGCTCTGTTCCATCCCTTAAGTGCTATTCAACAGCACTAGCCTCTCCACCCACTACTCCCTTTGCTCTAGTGAACTGCATTTCAGGCACTGCCATATTACCAGGCAGTGCTCTTTTCCACACCAAGGCTTTTAGCTTATTTTGAATCTTCCTCCTGGAGCATCACTTGTCCCACATCATTGAATTTCAGCATATAAACGTGAACACATTTAATGCTCTCATTAACGCTATAGGTCAATGTATTAGTGTCCTCATTTTACAGATACAAGATCTCTTCTGAAAGAGAGAAGTTAGGATCCTGATAAGTAAGGAAATGTAAACTCGGAACCAGAACTTGAGCCCGGCTACAACAGAGCTTGACTACTAACCAGTTAGTGATAGACATGGCATTCTGATTTATAGCCTCCGAAACCCTGCGGGGCAGTTCCTCTTTGATCTGCAGGGTTGCAGTTAGGTGGTAAAGGGGTGGACCATCCTATTGCTCATTTTGTCCTGAAGCCTGTCCTTGAAGCCTTCCTGGGGTTCCTCTTGGTTACCCCTTCCCAAAGCGATGATTAGTAGAATCTATACATCTCTTTGTTTAGGCCTTTCTTCTGTCATTTATGTGTAATAGTCATTTTCAGATCCTTAAACACAAGAATACTTGGTTTTCTCATTTGTTTTCTCTTTTTATTTCTCCCAAAGCATCTTATATACTTTCAAGTAAGGAAAGCACAGCTCTGTTTTTAACACAAGTGACTCTTTCCCCGTGGGAGCAGAGGTGGTACAGTGGTAGAATTCTATCCTTCCATTTGAGAGACCTGCATCATTTCACCTCAGGTACAGCTAGCACGCTCTGCCAGTGGAGACTTGCATGTTGTTATGCTGAACAGGTTTCAGAGGAGCTTCCAGACTAAGACAGACCAGGAAGAATCGTTTGTCAATTTATTTCCAGAAATCAGAATGCCAATTTACTTCCAAAACTGTGATCACTGTGGTCTGATCCCTAATCAGTCATGGAGCTGAAACATGAACAGGAAGCATTTCATCACCATGGCATCAATATAAGTCAGGAGCTGGCCTAGGGGCAACTAACAATAACCATCTTTTCTTTCAAGGCGTCACTGATATGTGGTGTTCTTAAGAACTTTCAACCTTCATACACCATGTAAGGTGTCAGGATAAGGCATGTTCAGCACATACAAATCCTATCACTGACGACCATGATGATTTGCTAAGTCACTTCTTTAAGACTGCATTCACTTTTTAACATTTTTTTGCTTACAAAGTTCGTGTACATTGTGTATATGAAATTAGAACTGAGACACAAACGGAGATTTGTACATCAGTGTTCACAGCAGCATTATTCACCATCCCAAGAACATGGAAAGAGCCCATATGTCCAACCACAACCAAATGGATTGAGAACTTGTGGTACATTCACACAATGGAATACTATGCAACAATCAAGAGCAGTGATTCTGAAAAATACTACATAACTTGAGAGAGACTGGAGAGCATTATGCTGAGTGAACTAATGTAGTCTCATAGGACAAATACTGCCTAAAACCATTATTGTAAGAATAGAAGGATAACTATAGAAGTAAAACATATATGGGGATACAAGGGAGGAAAGGGTGGGAGCAAAGAGGTAAGGATAGGTAGGGGTGAACCACAAGGTTATACAGGTTGGTGTATGGAGGGGAGGAGGAGTAAATGGGATGGATCCAGGTGAAAAAAACAGGTTAAGGGTGGGTAAGGTCCAATGGTGATTACTTTTATAAAACATAATGCATAAGAATGCTTGTATGAAACACAATGAAGAATAGTGTGAAACACAAAGCATTCGCTTTTTTATGGAAGGTGAAGCCATAGGTGAGGAGTTGGTGACATCACATGTACCTAAACTCTAGAAGAGTCTAGAAAACATTTTAGTGTTGAGGAAAATGGATGGACTTTGATATGTGGACTTGGGTTTACAGCTCAGCCACTTGGTGTTGGATGGTGGTCTTGGCAAGTCATTTAATATTTTTTTCCAGGTCTTTCTGCTTTTTTTAATTATTATTATTATTGTTAATGAAAGTTTACAGAGACTTAGAGTTTCCAGTCATTCGTTGTTGCACTTTAATATTTTCACCCTATCTGTATATCTTAATGTTGTTAATTTAAAAATTAAGTGATATCATGGAAGCACTTTATGAACAAAACCTTTAAGTATTGCTCAGACCTTCAGATTCTGGGAGAGTTTTAAACGTATGTGTATTTATATGTGTGTGTGTGTGTATACACACACACACATACACACATCCATTATTCTAAGTGTAGAGATTCTGTGCAAGTTCCTAATTTTATTGGGAGAAAAAAGATTATAGATTTTTTTTGTTAGGTTTTTTTTTAAGCTTGTAGGCTTTAAAAAGATCTTTAATATCTCTATTTAATAGGATAATAAAAAGGTTGGAGATGGATTTGGTTCTGGGAATCCAAAATATAAAAGCCATTTGTACAAAGGAAAATAGTTGTGCTGTTATTGATATCTTAGTAGTTTGTAATGTGATCCTTATTATTTTTATTCATTTACAGACAAAGTGGAGTCAGAATTACTACAAGGTTATAGTAAATACTTGCCACATGATGTTGTTGTCATGACTGTGAAGTTATGCATACTATTCGCTGTGCTTTTGACAGTCCCTCTAATTCACTTCCCTGTAAGTACTCTTAAAGGTTTCGTTGCTTAGTGTAGTGGTTCCCTAATATGGCAACACTAATTCTTTGCAGACCAGAACCGTTTGAATCACATCTAGTCCTGTATATCTTATTCATTTGTCAAGTAATTGATCAAAGACCTCATACTTGCATATGGCCCCATGAAAGCACAAAAATAACAGTGAACCACTAAGCTAATTTGTGCGTTTTGAGATTCCGTTTAGATTTACGCTTTCCCACAGCATTGTTTCCAATTTAAAAACTATAGTAGTTCTAACGTTTTGGTTTGCATTCCCCCCACACACCCCTTCTTTCTTTCTCATAAATTCTGTATTCTGTTTTCAAAAGAATGTGCATGAAGAGGAAAGAGTTGAGTTAGCAAAAATAAGCCCCTTCTGGTTTATTGTAAATTTTTCCCCCCACATAATACATTCTAGTTTAATCTTAGTCACAATGTTGTATTTGCTTTAGAATTATAACTAAAGGGGCAAAACAGATTTTATTCTACACTTAAGTTATTATACATCACAATCTTAAGAATTTCAAGGAAAAACAGAAACAAATGCTTGTGGATGGATGTTTTGAATCTCTGAACAGGGAGTACTTTCATAAGCGGGCCTTCAAAGTTCTTAGCCATCTCACTGTGTGGGTAGCAGCACCAGGTGTGCAGGGGGGGTGCTGGTGACCCGCACTTGGATGTGACTTCATACTGCCCACCTGAACAATGAGAAGTAGATGAGCTGCTTTTCATATTTGCACACTGTGAAACAGATGCTCTCAAATGAAATAGAAAGTGATGTTTCTTTCCTATAGCATGACTTCCTCCCCACCCCCAGTTTCAAACCTTTTGTTTGTCCAGTCTGCTTATTTTAATAAAAATAGAAAAGATTTCTTCACAGTGTTAATATTATAAATATTCACAACCTAAAGAAAATGTGTGAAAAATATTCTCTCTACTGTTACTTTATTTGTGTTGCTCTAAGCAAATATTTTCACTTTAACACTTCCTCTGGCTTAAATTAGTTTCTTTTTGTATTATACAGGCAAGAAAAGCTTTAATGATGATGTTTTTCTCCAATTTTCCTTTCTCATGGATTCGCCATTTTTTGGTCACTTTGGTACTAAATATTATCATTGTTTTACTTGCAATATACGTTCCTGACATTAGAAATGTATTTGGTGTAGTTGGTAAGTTTTCCTTTTTTAAAAAAAATTATGCGTAATAAAATGGATAAGATGAATGAAATAAAATTATGTAAAATAAAATTTCCACAAACCCTCACATTTTAATCTGGTAATAAGCTTTTTTTTTTTAACCTCTCCATGTTCCACGTGAAGGTGCCAGTACATCAACATGTTTGATTTTTATATTCCCTGGACTATTTTATCTTAAACTTAGCAGAGAAGATTTTCTTTCATGGAAAAAGCTTGGGGTAGGTTGAATTTTTTTCCCTTTCATTAATTATATTTTAAGAAAGAATTTATTACATTTTATCTACATCAAGAAAAATATGTATTATGAACTTAAAGTACATTATTGGAGTAAGTTTGGTTTTAAAAATGATTCTGTTTTGCTTCATTTTCCTCTCTTTCTACAGGCCTGTGTTTTGGTCATCTTTGGAATTATGGTCGGGAGTTTTAGTTTAGCACTCATCATTTTTAATTGGATTAACAACTGAAAAATATTTTCCTACTTTACCTTAACATGAAAAATAGATGATTCATGAAGTTACTTGAAGAAGTCCTCTTTAAATGAGCTGATATTTTGATAAAAAGGAACAGAAGAAATAGAAGAAAATAGTGGGATGTAGGGAGAAGTGAGAATATAACAATTTTTGGTTAATTATTTATGTAATAAAACATTTGCCACTTTAACATTCTTCATGGAAAGAAATTACCTCAGAAATGTCCTTAAATACATTGGGTCCACCTTTTGTTTGTGTGCATTGTGTTAGTTTTTTGTTGTAGTATATTACATTTTTGGTTTAATCTGGGAAACTAAGGTCTTCAATTTAGATGAAGAATTGGATCCTAACTAGTGTATGAATGTTATCAATGTCAATCTCTAATAACAACAATATGTGAGATTATTAAATTTGGTATTGTCATGCCTTTAAATCCTTTCTGTGGAGGATTTCTCATATTCCTCTGTTGTTCATTATAAAGTAAAACTATGACAATGCCAGTGTTTAAAAAGTTCTCTGATCTTTCTCAGTTTTTCCCTAAGAAGTGATTTTTCTTTCCTTGGCAAGTAGAAATATTGATAATTTATATCCAATTTTGTTTGAGCATTTAAAATCTTTTCAGTCATCTCACTTACAGGGCTTGTTGCTGGTTGGAAACCAAAGATTAGGGTTCTCCTCCAATGAGTACTCTGTGGAAAGGGCTCCTGTTTAGTAGCCTACCAAAGCCGGATGTTGTCAGTAAAATGTCATCATACTGTGGTGCGCATGTAAATAGAGAATTGCATGCAAAGTGACAATTTGCATGTATGGAAATACACACTTGTGCAGGTGTTCCCTCCCTTTCAGGAAACTGGGCCTGAAATTTAACAACTAGGCTGCTTTTTTGGATTGCGATACTTCTGCAACTTGACAGCTGCGTGATAGAATGTTGAAAGTCCATACTGCTTTATCAGAAATACTTGAGTTCAAATGTAAGTGACTGTCTGTATATTACTTCACTCCCTGAGTCTCAATATTCAAATCTGTAAAACCAAGTTCATACTTATAATATAGGGTTATACTGTGAGGGTTTGTTGGACTTGTAAAGATAAAGTACAGACCTAAACAAACTGCATAGATTAGATGTCCCTCCAACTTCCTCATCTGTACCAGAAAAAAAAAAAGGAATTTGCTTTTAATCAAGGACTTGGAACACATTTTTAATTTCTTCACCCACCATCTTTTACATCAGGTTCATCCTCGAGAAGGTTAAACCAGACTCCTCGTTGGAGGATTCTGAAACTTTGTCTGACATACTTTGGACATGTTGCAAGGAGGGATCAGTCATTGGAGAAGGACCTCATGCTTGGGAGGGTGGAGGGACAGTGCTGGAAGGGAAGAAGACCCTCTATAAGGTGGATTGATTCAGTGGCTGGGGTAATGGAGGTAGGTGTGTCAGAGACAGATTGGCACAGGACAGAGCAGGGTTTAGGGCTGTTGTACATAGGATCGCTATGAGTCAGGCAACTCAACGGCACGTAACCACAACCACCACCAATACCTTGTACAGCTAATATCTTCAGAATCTTCCTCTAGCTGTGACTCACAGAGCATCATGTGCACGAGCACATTTTTAGTGCTTTCTCACAGTTTCACTCCTGCTGTATTCACCTACTAAGGCCTTCCTGAAAGTAGGCACTTAGCATCGCCCAGGGGCACAGTCAGTCTTGGCCTCCGAGATAGCTCCAGGTCAACCTGGAGTTATTTCTTGTACCCACTTTTTCTTTTTGTGAAATTATAGACCCAAATGCAAATAGGAATTCAGCTGCTTTAATAAATCTAACTCCAGCAATACTAAAATAGCCCTAAATCTGCAACAGATGCAAGGGTGCCCCCTGGGGCAAATATAAGTGTGATGACAGCTGGGTATCAATTAATGCATTTGTCACTTGCACATAGGCTAGGATCATGAGAGGTTTGAAAAAGGGACAAGTAACCTATAGAACACTCTGCACAAAACTGAGTTAAAATATAGAGATTATTTGTGAGGGTCCTCTTTTGTCTGTCTTTCATATTCTGCCTTAGGTAGTTGCTTACTTAGAGTTCCAACTCTCTCCATTAGAATTTGATGGTAAGAGCTGTACTCTCCAGGATTACTAAAATTCGGTCTTCAGGTACTTGTCAGTGTTTTCCTTGGGAAATACAGGCTTTCTTACTATGGTCTTAATAATTTAGTGGGTAGTAGCTATTTAAAATAAAGCACACAGTATTTTTTGGTATCTGAAGACTTGTTTGCTAGGTTAAAAGACTTAAAGTGCTAATAATAGAAATGTTATATATTTAGTCCAAATGTTTAAAATGTACTATAATTTGTTGTTGTTTTTGTTTGAAAGGGAATGTTTACTCTGGAACTAAGCATTTAAATGGTTAAAGCAAGCCTTTTGAAGTTAACACTCCATTAAGATGAATGGGGGTAATTCACACCTCTGCTGGTGCTGTATTATTTCTGTCTGGCTGAGGAGAAAACAAGACAGCAGTACCTTGATTTACTATGTGGAGAGCCTTTAAACACCCAGGGTCTGGAAATCTTTGAAGATCTTTTTTTTTCCCTTCAGAAATTCAGCATAATCTAGGTATAGAATCTACTCTTTGGCAAAAATTACATTAGATGGGTGGCAATGTTACCAAATCAACCCAACCCACCCAGCTTTGTTTGCTTCTATATTCCAGGACTTTTCCTTGTAGCAATGTCTTTTACACTTTCAACTCAGTGTTCTGATACATTTACCAATGGAAACAAGAAACAAAAGTATCAATTTTCATGTAAACTTTACACATGTCTTCAAATGAGTTACTAGTTAATCATTGGCCTTCATAGTTCTTATATGCACCGCCTCAAAATGTACTTAATTTTGCATAACCTCATGTTTTCTGTTTTCATACTTATGAACTTTAAAGTTCTTTTAAGAACTTTCTCTTTACTGTGTACCTGGGGAATGAGATCAGTTAGGAAGGACTGATTTCTTTCTCCAAGTGTCCTTTGATTTACAGAATTACTATTTTGTATTTGAAATGTGTATTCCACACATTGACAGAAGTGCTACAGCCTTTTGACACTGAAAAAGATTCATTTTAGAACCTAGGAAGAAGGCTTCCTGAGCAGAAAGGAAATGGTGAGCTTTCTGTGAGTTGTTGATGAATTAGGAGAGAGCTCTTTTTAAGAGAAATGAAATTTTCTCTTCTCTTTTCTGCACCCTGAGTGTTTGAAGGATCAGGTTACTGTATAATCTGTGGGAAGCTGGGTGTGGAGAGGTTGCCCCTCCCCCCCAGAGATGTCTCTAGTTCCGACATTGCTGGTACAAGTATACAGATCTGGAAAATAGATGCTTGAAACAGAGGGACTAGACCAGATTGTGTTTTGTCCTGTTTTTCTTTTCTCAGCGTGGTGACAAAATTCTGCAGCTATGTTACAATTAGTCCTATGTTAAACATACTTTGCTTCCTGCAGAATTCTCTGCCTTGATTTTGAGTGTCTTCTTTTTTAGCCTCAGAATATCTCAGAACATTTTACAGTGCTGAAAAATTTATGTTCTTTGTAGGACCCTATTTATTCTTCTTCCAGCAGTCTTCCTATGATTCTAGTTTTTGCAAATGAAATCAGGAGGGGAAAGCCCAAAATTTTGCTAAGAAGTAAGTAAATCATTGCAATCACAAGGCATTCTTTCTGTTTCTCACCTTTCTTAAACAGCCTTGTGTATGTTTTTGCTACAATCATGATCTGTTCTGGTTTGCCAAGGCTGTCAATCAGAAGAAGTCATTATGAGAAACAGGAAGACTCATTTTGGCTGATGGCCAGGTGGACAGGTGGGAATGAGAGGTTTACTTGCCTATGGGACAAAGTAAATGGGTGGAGAGGGAAATGATATTACCAGGGGAAACAAACAGATGGATGAGAAAGACATTGTAATGTGGGATGCTGTAATGAAAAAAGGAAGACTATTGCAGATACAGCATCCTACTTGTTTGAATGTGTTTTTATCTAATGTTGATTTTGGGTCAATGTACAACACAAGCGAGAGTCTGACCAGTTTGTTCAGTAAATGTTTACGATATGTGTCTGGAGTTGAGCTAATCCTAAAATTGTAAAACAAATCTAGGTTTAGTATTTTGAGTGAATAGGAGAAGGTCAGTCTCATAAAGTAGTGATCGTGATCGTGATGAGCTATCATTTCTCTATGGGGCCAGGAACTTTGCCAAGTACATTCTCCCATGTGACATGAGGTGTGTATGACCTGAAGTACAGGGAGCTCTGGTGGCTTAGTGGTGAGAAGTTGTTCTGCCAGCTCTAAGACATGGGTCAAATCCACCAACTGTTCTGCAGGAGAAAGATAGGTGGTCTCCTTGAAGATTCAGCAGTAACTCACATACAGTTGTGCTTCCTGTTTTATAGACATTAAAATGCAGTCTCTTTTGACAGGGGCCACAGCAGTTGGTGTGGAATAGAATGAGAGGGGAGAAAAGAAATACTTTTTAAAAAATAGACAAAGTGAAACAAAGAGGAACAAAGGGCCCCTGCATTTGGCACCTTGTGAGATTCTTTAAACTGAGAACTAAACCTTTCTCTGAAGTTGCCTTTGAGTGCAATGGCAGTGGCACACAAAGATTAGCTCTGCTGCTCTAGTAGGTAAGAAGGTACCTGCCAACACAGAGGCGGGTGGTTTGACTACACCAGCTGCTCCAAGGGAGAGAGGTGCAATCTCTTCCCACAATTTACTGCTTCTGACAACTCCCTGGAGGGTCAGCTGTGAGTTGGTTTTAACTTAATGGCACATAACAACCACCCATAAGATTGATATCCTTCTTAAAAACATTCCATACAAGATCGAAAGGTAAATAGCCTCTTAAAAGCAAAGATGAGATGGTGAGGGATGGGGGAATTAGAGTACTAGAAAGGGGAAAAACAGAACAAAGAAAATATTGATACACGGTTTTAATTATAGTCAATGTATATGAAAATTATCAAAATGGGAACGTAGCTTGATGTGTGTATTTC